TTTCTGCTGGGCGAACGGAGACAACACATTAGACAGAGCAGTTACAGGCGCCTCCATTCTGTATGCGTACCTGGTGTGCGGAAGCCCTCCTGTATCTTGTAGATCTCGTTCAGCTCCCGGGCACTGCACAGAGGCGTGTCCACCTGAGTGGTCTCGTTGAAGCGGCCATAGTCGATCTCGTAGGCCTGCAGATCCTTGTTGTACAGCACAACAGGATCGAAACGGTGGCCCCACAGGATCTCGGTGTTGATGTAACTCGATCTGGCCTGGGTGGACTGGCCCGTGGACTCCACCGTGCCCTCGAGTATGACCACAATCTCAAACCTATCCTGCAGCATGTCCGTTGCATTCAGATTATAGAGCGGCGAGTTCTCGTCGATCTTGTGCTCAATGATCATGGGCCAAATGAAGAACAAATCAGAGCCCGAGTCGTCGCTGCCGATCTCCAGCTCCGTGAAGAACTGCGTCATCACCTCTCCCTCCTTGGTGCTCTTCGTTCGAATCAGCTGGGCCCTGACGCCGGCTCCGATGATGTGGGACTTCCGCATGTCACCCACCCGGAACATCAGCGATAGGCTGCCATCGCGCTGGCAGATCACGGCCTGCTTGGAGAAGAGCAGCGTCTGTGCGCGCTGCTTGGCTCGCGTCATCTTGGCAAAGACGATGCCCGCCATGAAGGCAGAGGACATCACGCCGTAGATGGACTGGAAGCACATCATGAATATGGCCTCGGGACACTCTGTAGATGTGGTCCGCACGCCGTAGCCAATGGTGTGCTGTGTCTCAATGGAGAACAGAAAGCAGGAGGTGAAGCCATCAATGGCCGACACACAAGGCGCCCAGCCAGACTCCTCTGGGAGATGCAAAATGCGCGTGATAATCTCTATTTCAGACCGCTGGAGTGCTCCTCCACTCACCTTGATTGTCCGGCATGTGCAGCTCCTCCAGATCCCCGTGCGTGTAGATGATCAGCCACCAGATGAGCGCGAAGAACAGCCACGAGAGTATGAAGCTCAGCGCAAAGGCCAGCAGCGTCCACCGCCACTGCCAGTCCACCATCGTTGTGTACATGTCCTGCAGGAAGCGGACCCTTCTTCTCTGCAGGTGCTTCTGCACCACATTGCAGTCGCCGTTCTTGAACACGGCTCTTCTGCGCACCCGCCGCATGCTTCCAGGGCGAAAATTGCGTGACCTGGTGGGGGGAAAATCAAATAACAAGAATATATAATTGAACTGGTTGTCCTGAAGTTTCCCTTTGCCCGGAATGAGTGGTCACCAAGGAAAGTTTTGACCAATTTAATGGGACGAAAACGCAAATATTAATTATGGCTCAGCTTAAAAGTATGCAGCATTTAATGCTGAATCACTGTGTAGAATACATATAAGAATACGTGTAGGAATTACATTTTATTCCATGTTCCTAGTCAGTCAGCATAACAAATTATAAAATATAATAATTATTGAAGCAAAATCAATTATTTAAAAAATTACACAAAAAATGGGCACTAAACTACGGGGATACGTCTCTCTCTCTCTCTACCCAAGGGCTATAATTCCAGCTGAACGACTCTTAAAACCCCTTCCTGATCTGGAGCTAACCCATTCCCTCGCTATTCACGCTTCCTTAGAATTTCAATGCCATTCATCCAATGCAGTCCATGATTTATTCAAGTGACATCTAGAATTAGATGCCCAGACATCGTCTGTTTAATTTGTGCAAATTAAGTGTGCAAATTTGCACTCGCTGCTTTTGGACAGAGCAGCCCGCCAGAACTGCATCTAATTAACAATGTCAAAGTCGGAAGGCGACCAGATCAGAACCAGCCCCACAGAAATCGCAGCCTATCTCTCTCGATTACTGGTTTAATTGCAGCTCACCCACAAAGTGCCTTATTTATTGTGTCTACTTATTGCAACAAGTTGTCACTACATATACGATTTAATAGGGCTGGCTGCCTGCTCTGGCCAACAGCAACGCCCACATGGGAAGGCCTTAACCCCACATTGACACTCGAAGTCAGAGCCAGAGACAGAGCCACAGCCGATTAATTGGCATTGTGCCGGTTGCATTAATAGTCGTTAATCGAATTTAACGCTCGGTCAGAGGAATAAATGTCACTATTTCTCTGCGATGATTCATCATGTCGCTGTGTGGCTTGTCCACACTCACTTAATTCTCGCTTAATTCACTCGCCAACGCAGTACCCGAAAAATCTCTAAAGCTGCCGACAGTTGATGGGGAAGGAAGTGCCTGAGAGTTGTTCCAGTGGGAAACCCTCAGCCAAACCGTTTAACGAGTGACAAATGTGAGAACAAATCACAGTGATTGGGATAGACAGTATATAGTTTGCCCCTGGCCAGACAGAATGCAATCTGCAGTGAGGTACATATGTGCAGCGAATACAAAAACTGTGGGCGGAACAAGATAAATTACAACCGCAAACGACGGGTAACACTCTGCTAATCAGCTAGACAAAGCAGCCCATGAGATGCGACAACGTGACACGCAGTCATAACAGCCTAGCCTAGAGGCCCAGTCCCATTGATTGTCGGCAAGTTCAAGTTGAATGTCAGACCCCTTGACGAGCTAATTACGACCCGGAAAGACATACTATACTGTAGAGACGGAACGCTTCTTTGTACAATTATCACAATTAGATATGCGCACCCCTTGGCCAACGAGTGGCTGGATCCTTTGAGGGCCTCGTAGTAGACTCCAGCCTGGGAGGGGGTGTGCGAGATGCCCCTCATGTACTGGCGCTTCCACTCCTTCATGTGCGCGAAGGTCTCCTCTTGGTCGCCGCCACCATTTCCGACTATGGTCTCGGCATCGGCAGGATCGTGCAGGACCTGGACATCGCTAAGCGGCACCTGCATGTTGAAAGAACGACTGGCTGCTGACTGCTGACTTATGACGTTCTTACTTCGCGCTACCACACTCGACTGAACTTGCTCGCCGCACGCTTCCAGCCAGGCCAACATCAGGTCCCACTACAGCCCCAGAGTTGGCTGATCCAATTAGAGTCTCTCTAACTAATGGTCAACTATTGACTGAGCTACTTAGACTCCATCCCCCAGACTCACCTGCAGCTCGGCTGGCGCTGAAACGCCTTGCCATTGGGGGCTACTCCATAGAAGCTCGCTGGGCGATTGGGCACTATGGTGATGGGATACGATTGCGGATTGCTGATGACACTGTCCAGGGAATCGGGATCGGCCTCAATGGCCCTCTTCAACGGCTGGGTGGCAGAGGCCTTCTCGTTGCCATTTGTTGGGGTTGTCGCTGGAGTGGCTGTTGCCGCTGGGGCAGCCGAGTGGCTCGAGAAATTGAAGCGCATCTGTGGGGTGTCGGTTGGATGAGCCGCTTGAGTTACTTTTTCAATTAAATTTATTTATGTCTGTACGAGTGCGAATACGAGTATTAGTATCTCCTCGAGTGGGCAAACAGAAACTTGTGATAAGTGCAGGGCAGGTGCGAGAAATGTCAGCTGATTCTGATCAGATTTTCACGAATGTTGTAAAGGTAAACAAGAGATGAACGTAATAGGAGTAGTGAGAGTCCCTGAGCAGCTCAGCAGTCTTTTTGCGCACTCTTCACGCGATCAAACACTTAGGAATACCTTAATTGAATACCTTCAAATACACCAGGCACCCGACAAATGTGATTTGAAATTGGCTGGCTTGGCACGTTTCAGCTTAAATAATTTTAGCACCTTTTTATGAGCCAACGAAATGTTCAATTAATTGACACCTTTAAGCCGATCATTTGTTAGATGGCCTTTTGTTATGCTAAAGACCACCAACATATCACGGTGGCCCGATATCGGTTCAACTGGAGCGACGAAACGAATATAATTTTACGATCTGTGCAGATTGGTACTCGACTCGCTTTGTTTCAGCGCCGCGCTTCGGATGGGGAATGTGACGAGCCCCAGAGATCACAGGGCACACACCACACTGACAACAGAGCAAACAGAAGCCGCGACCGACACCAGAAACAGCGATGACAGCAACAACTGTGACTGCGACTGCGACACCGAGAGAGATCCGCAAGTCAGTCCAATGGATTAAATGACGGCCGACTGCCGCCACCGCCACCGCCGACGACAGCAAGAAAATTTTTCAAACTAAACAAAAGTTGTGAACAGAAAGCGGCGCTGTAAATGAGCTCGCTTGCACTCACACATGTTAGAAAAGAGAAGTACTCCGCACACTAACAGTGACACTTTTCACATTGCAGATTGGCGATGCTCTCAGATACAGATACAGATAGAGCGGACAGATAAAACTGACGGTTGCTCTGCCAGAGAAAAAGTTCAATTGAAATGATTTGTAAATTGAAAACGAAGCGGAAGATAAGCGTGATAAGCTCTCCTTATCTGAATTTAAAGAGTGTGTCTGTGTGTGTGTGTGTGTGTGTGTCAGTGTCAGTGGAGAGAAGAAATGGGGAGGCAGGCGACCTTGAGTCGCAATATGCAAGGGGTGCCGTATACGTAATATTTGGTATGCGCTGCGCTGTTTAATAAAATAAAATAAAATATCTGTGATTGCTGCGATCGCAAATAAGTGCTTGAGTGCCTCGTATAAATATACTGATAAATATATCACTCACTCTATGTAGACCCAATTTTCCTTCCACCCTACTCCAACATCCCAACACAGTTCCGTTCGCCTGTTGCTTTCGAGTACAAGGTGGCGTATATGTACTTAATATTTGTTCGAATCTCTGTTTAAACGAGAGAATCTCTTCCTCTGCCTTTTTAGCTGCATTGTGCAAATACAAATAATTATGTCAGTCACACTCGAATGCAGAATCCCGGTGTGAACAAAAGTTATGCGTAATTAATTTTGCGTTAGCGTTTCACCAATTAAAATTCGACACCCCGAACATAAATCATTGCACACCATTGAACAAGACCAGCTGAGTTAAATAACGTTTGCGTTTTATTAGGGCACATTTATACAGATTTGGAATATTTCAGCTTATCCTTTATTATCTGTTATAGCATAAAGGGATGCTTGGAAATCTGAGCGGAAGTGAGGCGGGAGAGTGGAGCCTTTATCAGCAGCGCATCAATCAGATCCTTGGCATCCGCGCTGATACAGTCCTTAAGTTGCAAGGGAAACTGATGATCACTGACCGTAATGTCCCGGCAGATTTCTTCAAGCTCCTTGCACCCCTTGCCGAAGGGTTCCTTATCGAACAACATGGAATAGAGAGTGACCCCGAAGCTCCAGGTATCCACTCGATAGTCGTATCCGGTGCCAAGAATCATCTCGGGAGCTATGTACCTCGGGGTCCCGATGAAGTCCTTCATCGCTCTTTCCTCGAAATAGGTGGCCGCTCCGAAATCTGCTATCTTTGCCACCAGAAAAGTGAAGTCCGATTTTCTTACGAGCAGGTTGTCGGGCTTTATGTCGCGATGAATGATTCGTTTGTCGTGTATGTAGGTCAGGCCATGGATCACGTCCCTCATGACCCGCTTGGCTATGCACTCGGGTATGCTGCCATGGCGATCCCTCATGTCTTGCACGCTACAGGCCATGTACTCGATCACAAAAAAGGTGTACCTGCACCTCGGCCTGTAAACGGTGAAGATCAGGTCAACGACGTTCGGATGGGTCTGCAGCTTGCGCATGATCTCCATCTCCTTGTACTTGGCGTCAAGATTCAGCATGAGTGCCTCGTTTACCACTTTAACAATGCATCTGCGGATCTGCTTCGTCTTGGGCTCCGCAGTGCAGATGACGGTCTTTTTGTTACTCACAAAAGTATGACGTTTGTTCACGTACATCGCAACGGAGTCGGAAAGGATCTGACCCTCTGGCAGTGCTTCATTACGCATTTTCCAGCGTCGTATCGCTGCCTGAAGCCGCCAAAAATGTTTGTTCACAGTGTAGTCCATTTTGATGAAGCTCTCGTACCGGCAGCAGCAGACGACGACGTCCCCGTCCAAAAAGGAATCCAGAGAGCTAATCGGAGTGCCATTGGTGCGCCATATGAACTCGATGGTCGATGGGAGCGCCAAAAATGACTGCAGGGCGCTGGTGACGTGCCGCAGAAGTATGCCAAAATCCTTGTAGTGGTACTGGGACACGGAGAGTGTGACGCCTCTGAAGTGTGGTGCCCCATTTCGGAGGAAGCAAACACGAACCGCCTCCATCGGTCTAACCGTTGGCCTGACCAATGCCATCGCTGAATCGCTGAATCGCTGAATCGTGTAAAATGTAAAATTATCAAGCAAAACAAATTGTTTGTGTCTTGTGTGAGCGGGTGTAGAATGAATCTAAGTTTGAGGCATTTCCGAAATGCCACCAAGCCGAGTACACGAGTACACAGTCTGTGCCTGCTCGGTTTCGTTTCCATGCGGTAGTGTGGTTTTCAATGCTCTTCCGTCATGCCCATCATGCACATGCCCATGCCCGTGTCCCCCTTGTGTGCGGGGTCACAATGATAACCGTGTGGCAGCAACAGCATAATTTATGACACACCAAATTGTGAATGGCAGCAGCCGTTGCCGCAGATGAAGAGCGCCAAAGCCGCTGCGATAATTGAATAATCAGCTTTGTTGCCCAGCAGGCGAGTGCGCGACCCTCCCCCGAGATACACTCGCATGCGGCACACAGATACAGTATCCAGAGATACTCGTGTCGTCCCCCATGCCCACCCGTTCTGGAGCGACTCAACCTCAACTCGTGGCAAGTCCAAATTTGTAGTCAATCAAACAGTCACTTAATCATATCCATCCCCTCGCCCGGGCTGTGGGTGTTAATTTATATTTTATTTATGTACATTTTTTTTTTAAAAAAATTCTTTTTATTTGCGCCATTTCGGAATAAATGCTGCATTATGCACAGCAAAATCAAGCAAAGCGTGGTTCGGGGTTGTCGGCTTTCGACGGTTCGAAGCGTGCGCGGACTTTCCTTTTTTTTTTCTTAAACAAATCTTTTTTTCCACAGTTTTACAGTAAAAATTACATTTTAAAATTTTTTTGATTTTTTTTTTAATTTAGCTGGCATTAATTAAATATTTAACTGGTAAAAATTTAAGAAGAGCTTTTAATTTTTGTTGTTTTTTTCCCTATTAAATGTTGAAAAAATACCATATGAAAATTACAAAAATTGTACTTGAAAAACAGAAAAAAAATACTGCAAAAATAAAGTACACCATAAAAACAAAAAAAAAAACCTGTGGCATTTTTTTTTGTTATTTTGGGTTAAAAACGATTGCCACAGATAGATGGCGCAGCCAGCCCAAAAGTATGCAGCAAAAATTAGAATACATCCTCACCGATAGAGGGAGCCACAGAATGGCGCCTTAGTAACGGTTTTTCAAACAGAGGGAGGACTGGAAGCATTAAAATCGGATTTAAAAATAAAATAATATTTATTGCTTTTTACAAAAACATAAAATGGTTCTCTGGTTGGCATTCGACATAAGATAGACTCTGACTATTTACAGCTGATTATTGCCGATACTCGTACATATGTATACATATATATATGTATGTGTTTTATGTGGTATGTGGTATATGGTGTTGTAAGGAAAGATATCTTGACATTTCATTATCAGTGTGTAGTGTGTATGTGTATGGGTATGGGTGTGGGTGCTGGGGGGTGGGTAAATGCTGCAACACTTACATGCTAAAATGCTAAATAATATAGCTAAGAATATAGCTAGAAATTCCTACAGACTACGAAAATTGTACAATGAAGTTTGCATTTAAATATTCTGGTTTTCGTGCGCTCTCTCTCACAAAATGGCAATACGAAATATGTGTGTATATGTGTGTGTGTGTGTTGTTTGTATGTGTGAGTGAAATTGTGGTGCATGTGTATGTGTGTGTGTGTGATTGTTTGTGCACTTTACATGGCAGCACCATTGTAATGCTGATACATCTCGTCCCAGAACCTCTGTCGCTCTGGCTCCGGGTTCGTCTTCATGGCAAGCGTTCCCGAGATGTCCAGATAGTTGAGACTGTTCATCACATTCGATGGATCGATGGGCGCCCACTTGGTGGTCAAATACGGATCCTCAACATCGGGCGTGGGTGTGCTGCAGTCACAATCAATTGATATTCACAAAACTTTGACACGGGACTCTCTAGGACTCACCCGTATTTGGCGAAATTCGTCCACATGCGCACCATGCGATTCTTGACCTGCACCTCCAGCGACTTGGGGTCCAGGCTCAGGTTGAAGAAGCCAAATTTGAAGAGATATCCCAGCTCATCGCCATGACACACCCCCGGCCGGGGAATGCCGAGCATCCGCTTGTACAGACCGAGAGAGCCATCGAAGGAGAAGCGGTACATGTAGACAGGAGCACGCCCATATTTGGCATGGTTGCGGGCTGTGCGGCGAATGCCTTGCAGGAACATGAGATCAGTGAGGAGCTGCAACAGGAGATTGCAGTGCATTCGAGTTCGTGGATTGATGTGAGTGCACTCACCGCTATCATCTCATCGACGGACTCGAGGCCCACGTGCTTGTTGCCCAGATAGAAGGAGCGTATCTCGCGGGTGACCCTGTCATGGACATCGGTCGCATTTAAGTCCTGCGGCACTAGGCGTCCAAAGTCGTTCTCAATTATGCCCAGCAGCTGGGGATTCTTTCGCAGTCCTGAATCAAAGATAGTTTAGTTCGTAAAGTACTCTTACCCTTACTCTTTCCCCACACTTACTTCTTATGAAGAGCATTGCTTCGTGGGTGTTATAGCCCGTCATGTAGGCCACGTCGCTGTTGAAGTTCTGCTCGTTGTACATGTCACTCGGATGCTGGGTGATGAAGGGCTGCTCGTAGAATTGCTCCTCCTCAGAGTCCTGGTTCCAGTAGCCCTCGACGTTTGGCACAAAGGGCAGCCCGATGTTGTTGCGCTGATCCTCTGCCGTGATGGTGGTCGGCGCTGCCTCCACCAGCTTCATCGCGGGCACGCGACGCAGAAAGTCCAGGATATCCGCTGTTCTGTTGGCGCCCACGTAGCCCAGATTGGCCGCCAGGCGGGAGGCTCTCTTGCTGGAATTGGCGGACATGGACCAGGGGTTCAGGGCGGAGCCACTCTGCGAGATGGCGCGGTGGAAGAGGCCCTTGGCCATGGGCGACAGCAGGAGCAGCTGCACCGAGGAGCCGCCTGCGGACTCCCCGAAGACGGTCACCTGTGCGGGGTCACCACCGAAGGCGGCTATGTTGTCGCGCACCCACTTGAGGGCCAGCACCTGATCCTTCAGTCCCTGATTGCCGGGCGCATCGGGTCCGGCGGTGAGGAAGCCCAGTGGGCCCAGTCTGTAGTTGAGCGTGACGAGTACAATGTCCTCCGCCACCAGGTAGTCGGGTCCGTACAGGAAGGCATTGCCCGAGCCGAAGGAGAAGCCGCCGCCATGCAGCCACACCATCACTGGCCGCCTGCTCTGCTCGCTGGACTCCTCATCCTCCTTGGGCATGCGGGTGGTGAACACGTTGACGAACAGGCAATCCTCGTCTCCCTTGAAGGTGTCCAGGATCATGTTCTTGTGCGGACAGCTCTGGCCCTCCCGCGAGGCATCGCGGATGCCAGACCAGGGCTTCTCTGGCTCTGCCGAGCGGAATCTGTGGGAGTATATCGTAGTATCAGCTGCTTTGTGATTGTCTCGGATTGACGCACCTTCTGGCTCCGATCGGCGCTGCTCCGTAGCGCATTCCCTTGAAGCTGTAGTAGCCTCCTCGCTCTCCAGAGCGGTACTGCTGGTAGCGTCCCCTCACCTTGCCCAGTGTTGTGGTGGCCACAATCTCACGCTCCTTCTGCTTGAAGGGGAATAAATGTTCATTTAATCTGGGGTAACTCAAGTCTATAATTGCTTATTAATGCAGTTGCCAAGAATGCAGCGTTGCGCAGCGAATTTGCATTAGAACCGGCACTGATGGAAGTGTGCTAAGGCGCAAGTGTTGCGCAATCTCCTCGGTCAATGGCCACTGATCGATGGCCAAAAATAAAAAGCCAGTTCTCGCCTCCACTCAGGCCTAGAATATGCTTGGGGCGGTTCTCAAATGTCAGCTCTTTCTTTGCTATTGATTCGGCCTCAGCCCCAAGTTGAAGTTAATTTGGCTGTGGCTGTTTCTCTTTCTGCTGCAGCTGCAGCCTGGCCATGTTTGGCCAGCTGGTTGGCTGTCCACGTTCAAGTTGAGATTTGATTGGGTCAAGCTGATTTATACATACATACATATGTTTGACAATGCTCGACGCAAGGTCGCCAGTGGCTTGAGACTCACCCGCAGAGACCGCACCACCTCCTGAACCACGCGCATCGCCCGCGATGGCAGCAGCTGCACAAGGGAGTTCGGATGCGATGTCAGGGTCTTCCAGGCCGTCGTCTCCTGCAATTACATAGAGATTGGAACATTGTCAGCCAAGTGGGGCAATTTTCAAAAACAAGCAGATCGCCCAGTCCAAGTTCATTGGGTCCGTGTCCGACGTTGACAATTTTTGGGGCTGTCCAATTTGAAATGATGTTAACTGTTAACGGCCAACCTTCACCGACTGCGGCTGCCGCTGCTGCTGCCAAATGAAATTTCATTTAATTGAAATGCCATTTGCATCACTACACTCGGACATATGTAAGACTGAACTGCCGGACAGCTGGACAGCTGGCGGGAGGGCAATCAACAACAACTACAGTCACGTGCTGCCAGAGGAAACGATCGCATTAGCCAGGCCCCACAGACCACAGACTCGCACACGGATACAGATACAGATGAAGCCAGAGAGGCAGTAGAGCCACAGAGCTCCCATTAAGGTGTGTGTCTCGTAGTGAATCATGACACAGTTAGATGACGATGATGGCTTTGCTCTGGCTATTGCTGTGCCTTAGCCTTTGCTGCTGTTGTGGAGCACCGAATAACCAACGGCCAGTTTCAAGTTCACATTTGATGGGTTTTTATGCTAATTACATTTGCCAGATACCCTCACAGAGTCGACATTCACTCGGATGCTGCGAATGGAGTGCAGACACCATGGAAGGGTGCTTCAGTGCGCGAGAGGTATTCGGAATTCGGTCAAGTTGTGTATTGGCTTTGCATACGAAATGATTTCGTTTCGTATCTGTATCTTGGGCTTATGCTAATGTGGGTGTAGCTGGTTTATAACAGTTTTCAATTGGGCTCCATTGGCATCGCCGTTTGGCTTTAATTATAACTGTTTAATGCGCTTGTTAGCTTTTGT